AAAGGTAATTCTGTTCCATATCAAACACTCAAAAATATTATTTTTAAAAATCTACACTCTTCCTCAGTAACCTCACTGTCAGTTTGATTTCAGCAGCTTAAGCACAATGTTTACCTCAGGAGAAGGTGTCAGAAACAGAAAATTTCAAGTATGGAGTACTGAAATATTTTCGAGATCTCATTCCTATATGAATTACATGGACTTTGGGTTTCTCCCTGTTTCCAACTTGAAAGTTAGGAAATTCATCCCTTACCACTCAAGTTTTACAAGACTGGAAAAGATCTAAGTAGCTTCTATATTCTCATAGCCTTGGGAGGAAAACACCTCTTCCATTTTTCCAGCTTGCATTTGGAGGTACTAACTGCCCTGGACCATTTCCTGCTTCCACAGGTATATTATTTTTATTTATTTTAAGCACGTAAACTGAACTCAACTTTTATTAACTCACAAAACCATTAAAAATAAGGCCTTTCCAAAATGGCTGACGATAACATCCACACATGAAACCTTGCAATTAACTGGAGAACAAGTAAGTGGCTCTCCTCCCTAGGTAAGGCAGAAAGGTGAAGGAGAAAGCCAAAGCTACTTTAAGTTGCTAATTGTTTTCTGAAAATCACTGTTTAGAAACAGCCTTAAATGTAACCAGTCAGCACTGCCTTCTCTGTTCAGTTAGGAAACTTTATGCTTTCTGAGCCAAAAAAAATGCTCTTAGGCGCAATCATTTTAAAACAAACAAACACACTCTGCTTATCTGTGTCCATCTCACCACTTTGGACGTTAATCGTCACTGAAATAGATACCCCAGTCCCCCAGCCTCAAAGAGCTCCAAGCCTACACGACCCTGTCTGAGGAATGAATGTACATGCCAGGGCAAACACCTCAGAGTCTTACACCCTAAACATCTATTGTTAGTTCTAGGCAAATCTATCACAGGCAAATGCAAGAGAGCACCCAGCCATTGCTCAAAGGATATTTAAAATAAAATTCAAGTTTGAAAACATGTAGGTCTTAATTAGGGAGGAAGAGGATTAAGTAAGCTTTCTTTAACATAAGACTGGCAGAAGTTTTTAAAAACAGATTTCCATACTGAGATATATTTTTTCTTTTCATTCTTTGCTCTTGTTAATTTCCAGTATCAAAATTTGCAGATAGCACCTTTGCTCTTCTGGCTGTCATACTAACTACATGCACTTAGCCTATGTTATAAACTGACAGTTAAATTTCACTGTTTTGTTCTTGAAGGCTGAACTAAGTTAGCTTTCCCCCTGCTCTTCAGGGAATACTTAAAAGATTGCTATATGAAACATTTCCTTGATTTTTATATTAAAGATATTTCTATTCCCCCAGGCTTCATAAAACCTTCAAACAAAGCTGATTTTAAACCAAATGACTGACTCAAACTGTCTTTGTGTCTGCTTTAAAAAAAAAAAAAAAGAGCTCAGGATACCTACCAGTGTTCACTGTTTGGGCAAGGGGCCTAAAGGGAAGCAAATTATTTGTTTGTGGTTTTAAAGTGGCCAAAATGCCTTCAAGCACATGTATAAGACCATTAACAAATCACAAGGAACCAAAGCAGTTCATCTTACTCAACAAAGCTATGATCAGTTAGGAACAGCCAAACTGAATGGGACTTGCCCTGAGCCGGAAGGTCAGTAAACCTTAGCAGTTTGTGTTTCTGAGAATCAAGAGGCTCTTCGGCAGGGAGTGCAGACACTAAGTCCACAGGTTCTGCTGTCATGTTTCCAAAAACATTCAGGACAGGTGAGAGAAACTAAGCAGTGTGTGTTTTCCCCCATCTCCTGTCTTCAGGCAGCATCTCCAAGTCAAACATCTCTACTTTTGTTATACACAGACTGATAGAGGAAAAGCGAAGCAATTAAGAAGTTCCATTTTACAACAGTGTGAATGCTTACTATGTGCTGAACCCTGTGCTACCACTTACACATTATTACATTTAAGCCTCATTTTACTAGGTATGTAATTCCCCTTCTTTATAGATGATAAAACTCTGGTGCAGTGAGGTTGTGTGGCTTCTGCTATGAAGTTGTGTGTCGTACTTATAAAAATTTATTCCACTGTCCAGTCTGTGGTAAATTAGCCCAAAGCATGAACTACAGCTCTGCCACTATCCAAGCAGCCATAGTCTCCCTGAACTTTGGGCCCTGGTGCCTTGATACCCTAAGAGGACTGGGGTACATGATGTCTACTTCCAGGGGTGACAACAACCTCTCTTGGTGGCTTATCACTTCTCTGCAGCTGTCCAAAAACAGACCACACTGGTAAACACTCTCTCCACCTGCTCTAACACACATAACTTCTCCCCTTAACTCAGAAAACACCAGCATTGACCCTGCTCTTTATCAAGTGCTTTGGTAAAACAACTTCACTAGAAGGTCAGAGATATCTCATCCTAGGACACAAACAAGAAATCAAAACACACATGGCTAATAAATAATAAAGCCATATCACTTCGCAGTCTCAAAGCACTTTATACTATAAATTCATTTTTATTTTGTTATTATTACTTATAGAACACACACTCATTCCCATGATCTCCCTTTTAGAGCACTTGAAAAGGAAAGAAAAATAAACATGAATTATTTCATTCATTCATTCAATTACTATAAGGAGAGACAGAAAGCCAAAGTTGGCTTTGGCTGGCTTGGGTTCCAGTCACTTTAGCCAACTTCTCTTCTAGGTAAACTGATATGTTCTCTGAAAGAGTTTTTCTTATAAGAAATGAGGGTAACAAGACTACGTGCCAAAAAAAAAAAAAAATCCCAAAGAATCATTATCATCAACAACGAAATCGTACTAGAATTAATACAAGTTAAACAAAATGATCAGGTATAAAATTTACAAACGATTATAATTCTATACATCATTAATAATACCTAGCTGGAGATTACATTCATGATAAAAACAAAATGCATAACATATTTAGGAATACTTTAGGAAAAAGTGTAACAACAGATATATAGGACTTTATCGTGAGAACCACAGAAACTTTTGAAAAGACAATTTTTTTATTTTTATTTTTTTGCTTAGAGGGTTGAGTGAAGTAGAGATGTCTCTCACACACACACACACAAATCTAACAAGGATATCTAAACCTAATAGATATTAGACTATAAAAAAGCAACAATATTTAAAATAGTGTGGAAATGGAAAAAAATATATCAGTGGAACAAAATGGAGAGTTCAGATATAAATCCTATATGTATACATGCATATATACACATATATAAATATATTACCATTGGCAATGTACGCATTCTAAAACAAAGGGAAAGATAAGAATAGTTTAACAAATGTTGTAGTGATAACTAGGTAACCGGTTAGAAAAAAAGAATAAGTGATATTGACCAAAGTGTTAACTATTAAAAAAGTCAAATTATAAAAAAACCAGGCAGATATTCAAAGATGTGGGGGGAAAAGAAAATAAATCACAAAAGACTGACAGATTCTGATATATTTAAGTGTAAATCTTCTATAAACTAAAAATAAAAAACTAGGAAAAAATACTTGCATCAAAGATGACAAAATGGAGCCTAATATCTATGACCCATAAGCATTCCAAATTTATAAGAATAACATCAAGGCCCCAATAACAAATGGGCAAAGACTAGGAACAGACAATCTCACAGGTGAAACAAACACAAGGGAAAATATTTATCCTGGTCAACGATAAAGGAAATGAAAAACAACAAAACTTTGAGATATCATTATATGTCCACTAAAATAGCAAAGATTTTTAAAATTCTCAATGAAATTTGTTTAATCATTCATTGCTCATGCCATTGTAACTTGGTATACCTTTAACAAACCATACCCTTTGATCCAATAATGCCAATCTTGAGAATTTATCCTTAGTAACGAATTCAAAGACATATGTATTATATTGTATGTGACGTATCTCAATAAAGCTGTTGCCAAAAAATGCATTATTCATTTCATTGTTATCTGTAATAGCAAAAAGCTGGACATAACATAAACGTTTAAGATTAGAGGAATGTTTTTAATCTCATGGTATAGCCCACAAACATTTATTATGTACCTATTCTGTTAGGATCAGTAAGATAGCAACTGAGAGGGGCAAAGAAGTGTGCAACTGAAAAGTAATTCTAAAAAATGAATAGTTGTCTGGAGGTGGTGGCATTATAGCTTTTCATGTTGTAAAACAACTTGAATGTTATTATAGTCTATCAGAACTACCTTTTTTTTTTTCTTTAACCCAAACTGGATGGAGTTGGGTGCAATCTGAAAGCTTTTACTCCCTCAATTCCATACATTTTCCCTTTAATTTAACAGTTTACGTGGTTCAGGAAAGATTTTCAATCACAGGTCTCGGACCAGGAATTGGCCAAATTGCAATGCTATGCCTTTGTATACAGCCTAGACCTAATCCAACCCCCTGCCATGAGCAGACACCCTTTTTTGTGTCGTTCTGTCTGTATCAAGTCATAAACTATAGATGACACTTAAACCAAGGGCCTTCTTTTCAGGTCTGAGCCCTTTTTTCCATAGTCGATATTTTTTCCATACTCCATAGCCCCGAAGCCTAACAACCTTTAGAAGAGGGTCAAAGGGTGAATGTCCACAAAACGTTCTGATAGACCACACAGTGGACAGAGGTCCTAGACCTGGACGGGAGGTGGCCTCCAAAGCCACAGCCCAGCCGGGCTCCCCTCGGACTGAGGGACTCAGGGAGTCGATGTCTGCTAAAAGACAATTAAAAGCTGAAGGGAGTGCTTAAGATGGCTAATTGTGAGGAGCCGCCCACGGGGAGGGTGCGGACTGAGGGATGCTCTTGGGAAGCGTCCTCGAATGGGGGCCTCAGAGAGAAGGGCGTTCCGGGAGGGGTCTCGGCGGAGGCCAGGTTTGGGCCTCGGAATTCGGGGTGCGACACTGCCCCAGGCTGACCAGGCCGCGGCGCCCCGCCCTTTCCCAGGACGCTGGCAGGCCCGGGGCAGGGAGCGGGCGGGCGAGCGGGCGCTTACAGGTCGGTGCCGAGCCGCGTGAAGCCGGAGTTGAGCGAGGCCCGGGCTATCCGGCGCCAGAGCAGGTCGCAGCTGGTGAAGCGCCGCAGCCAGCGGCACACCTGAGCCAGGCGGCCGAGGGCCCGCTTGTCCAGGTAGGAACAGATGAGCAGCAGCAGCTCCTCCGGCAGGCGCCAGAGCGCGGGGCCAGCGGCGGGGCGGCCGGCCGACTCCCGAGCCGCCGCCTCCTCCTCGGCTTCCGCTGCCATGGCGGCCCCTGCTCCCGCGGGGCGGCCCCAAGCCTGACCCGCTCGTCCCTGTGCTCTCCCTGGCCTGGCGTCCTCCCGCCGCCCGGTCCTGACCCTCCATTCCTCCTTCTTCCCATCGTCTCTCCCTTTGGCCTCCTTGCCCGCCTCTGAGCGCCCTTCATCTCCCCTTATAATCCTTCTCGCCCCTTCCTCCACGCTTCCGCCGCCCTCTCCTTCCTCCGCTGGGCCTGCCTTAGCTCCCGCCTCGATTCCCAGCCCCGCTGCCTCCTTCGCCGTTTGCGGCTCCGGCTTCCCTTCTGCCCCGCTTCCTCTTCCGCCTTGCCCTGCTCCGGCTTTTCCCTTCCCCTTCCTTCGCTTCCCCCTCGCGAACCTCCCTTCCTGCAGTTTCCTCGCCTCCCCGCTCTCGCCCTCGCCTGGTCCGCCGTTCCCGGAGGACCCCAAGCGGCCCCGGCTGCCCATGAGCGGCCGCGGGGCCGGCCCGACGCGGAGCCCGGCCCGAGCTGCCGCCGCCGCCGCCGCCGCCCCCGCCCCGGGAGGAGGCGACACCATGTCGGACCGGGTCACATGGGGCGGCGCGGGCCGAAGCCTGGGCCCGCCCCTCACACCCGCGGCCGTGGAGCGGCTTCGGGGTGCGGTCCAGGAGAGCGGTCCTCCCTCCCCTAGCCTCTGGGCCGCCCGGGACGTTTGGTGCAAGCACATGCATGCACTCATCTAGCATGTGAGGCCCGAGAAGGCCGCAAGAGGAGCTTCCGCCTTCAAGAAGCTTCTAGTCGGAGCCTCTGTCCACAAGAAGCACCCACTGGGATGGCTCCCCGCCCGCCTCTTCCTCAGATGATGCCTCCTTTCCACAGGCCCCATGAACTGTAGCCCTCGAAGTTGGCATATTTCTTAGCCCAGGTTTTCACACGGTGTGAACCACGGTCCTGGCAATGAGCTGGTATCTTAGACATTTGGGAAGTTTGCAGTCCTCTAGATCCTGAATCCATAACTCCCCAGTAATGTATCAGACAAAGCTAGGGCCTCTGATCAAGTGGATTCTCCAAGGTCATCCAGGAGCCCTTCCCCACACCACCTATTCCATTCACAAAGGCACCAATCTGAAGGGAGAGCTAAGAAAAACCTACTGAAATCTAGACATGCTGTCCAATACGGTCCCCCCCCAGTCACACATGGCTATTCGTCCTTTGAAATGTGGCTAGTCGAAATTGAGGTGTGCTGTAAGTGTGAAATACACACCAGATTTTGAAGACTTATACAAGAAACATCGTGTGAACTATCTCATTAATAATTTTATATTTATATGTTGAAGTGATAAGATTTTTGAAACGTTGGACTAAGATATATTTTGATGTAACTACAAGAAAATTTTAAATTATACCTGTGACTTGTTTTTGTAGCCCACATTATTTTTCTATTGGACAGTAGTAGGGCTAGGCAGTAAGATTTGGAGGGGAGCAGGGAAGATACCCGTCCCTGTCTGTGTATCCTGTATCCCAAATTCTCATAGGAAGTATTTGAAGGTTTTATTTTGTATTTGCATTTTCAGGTAGCAAGAATGAATGAGAAATCAACTCTGGAAATTATCCAACACCTAGCATAGCCAAGGAGATACCTTGGGAAGCAACTACACTGCATTATGGTGCTGCAGAAGCATCGTGTAACAAGGTCAGACCGGAATCTGGCTTTGCCCTCGAATTACTTTTTGATCTTAGCAAAACAACAACAAAAAACCCCACCTATCTTGGCCTTTTAGTGTTCTCAGTCTGTAGTGGAGATAATGCCTCTGCCTTACTTTCGAGGGATAAATGAGATGATCCCTGTAAAATGCTTTGAACTCTGCTAAGAAAATTCTCAATAATAGTTACAGGTCAAATCCTGTTACAAAAAAAAAAATACCCTTACCAAAAAAAAACCCCAAAAAACAAAAAAAAACAAAACCACCCCACAGGCATTGTGTAAAAAAAGACTTCTAAACTCCAGCCAGTGGTTTACTTATTAAAAGCAATATTTGATACAACATAAAGAATTTACACCATCTCTTTGAGATCATTGTAAAGAAATTTACTTATTCATACTGTTAAACAGCTATTGAGGTAGGAACTCTGCAAATTGGGGTAATGTCATCGTCAACTCAACATTTATTGATTTTGCTACATTTGTGTACTGTGAGTGACGCTGGAAGGAAGACAGAGATGAATACAGCATATGGTTCCTACATTTTGTGTTCAGATTTGTGTTAGACATGTTTATAATTTCTTACTGTATGACTATTTTTTAAACATTTGACTATTTTTAACCGTATATTTTTTAACACAGAGTAAAGCTGAGTAGGTAATCATTGTACCTAGTTTTTAGTGGAGGACTTGAAGGTACAGAAAAGATTTAATTAACCCAACATAAATCAAATCAGCATTAAAATCCAGTCATACAAGTGAAACTTACTCTTTACCCCATGTTGCCTTCATTGATGGATAAATTAAATCATCATTTAAAAACATCAAATCACCCTCTTTCACACCCAAACTGGAAGATTAAGTGAACTGTTTAAGGTAGAGTTTATGATTTAATGATTTCCAAAAAAAAGCCAAAGTACTCACTATGCAGAAAGGAAAAGCCAAAATGGAAACTTGGCATATATTCTGTTATTTGGTGGTGATGTGTATTTCTAAATTCTTGAGCATTTGAAAAAAAAAAAAAAAACCCCTACAGTTTACTTTCAACTCAAAGAAGCAGCTAGAATTTTTCATCAATCCTTCATTTCCTTCCCCCCAAAAACAAACAAACTAACAAATTCAATTTGGGATTTAAACCAAACTTGAAAAAAACTGCATCACAAAAAAAGTGTTTGTAAACTTCTTTTGGGGAACAGTATTTAAAAAAATCAACTGTGGCTAGAAAGATGGGTTTGTAACTAAAGTAAATGCATTATCTTCGTGGAGAACCTGAATAGCATTTTACTCTCAAAGAAAATAAATAATTTAATAGCCAGAAAAATGGAAGATGGAAAGAGTACAGTGGACTTCAGAACATCTTTAAGAAAAGTCATCAACTCCCTTGAAGTTCAAATCCAGGAATCACAATGAAATAATGTAAGGGGGTAAAATTTACCTTTGTTTTTGTAATGCTTTTTATTAAAAAGTTTTTTAAATTTGCATATTAATAAGTAAACTGAAAACACTGGACGACTTTAAATTTAGAATGCCAAAAACATGGAATTCATGATATATTAAAATTTAAGACTATGAATTTTATAGTGGGTATTTAGAAACATATATTAGTTTACTTTTAAAGAGAATTTTTAAGTACAGATATAAAGTTCTTTGTATATGTCCATGTAAGTGACATGCATAGTAATGATTATTGCTGTTATAGTAGTATATACTATATGTTTAGGATTGTAAAAAGGCTAGAATTGTGTGTTCTGTCCATTCTTAAAAACATAGGTGAGGGCTGGCCGGGTGGCTTAGTTGGTTAGAGTGGGAGCTCTGAGCAACAGGGTTGTCAGTTTGATTCCTATATGGGCCAGTGAGCTGTGCCTGAGCTCAGCTGCCGCTGAGCTGCCAACAGGTGGCTGGATGGCTCAACAAGTGAGAGCACATGCTCTTAACAATAAGGTTGCCAGTTCGACTCCCGCATGGGATGGTGGGCTGCAACCCCCTCCTCCCCCTGCCTACTGCAACTAAGATTGAAAACAGCGACTGGACTTTGAGCTGCGCCCTCCACGACTAAGATTGAAGGATGACAACTTGACTTGGAGCTGATGGGTCCTGGAATGGAAAAACACAATGTTCCCCTTCCCCAATTTCCCAATAAATTCTTTAAAAACAACAACAACAACAAAAAAACAACAGGTGACAATCTCAGGCAGGAGTCATTCCCACATGCCCATTGGTTAAGCCCTCAGGGCCCCAGCCTTTAAAAATAGGCAGATTTATTTAACAGGGAAATTATTCTGAGATGCATGAGAGATAAATTATTTTATGACTGACAATTTTCAATGTCATACATTTGCTCAGATGCTCACCATTATTCCTTAATAATAATAATAGCTTATATTCACTGAGCACTTACTATTTATCACACACTATATCAGAAGAGCTTCCCATGTATTGTCTCACTTATTCCTAACAGCCACCACATGAAGAAAATACTATTAGCCGGTTTTTTGCAGATGAAACTGAGGCCTATGGTCACATGGTTCCTAAATGGCAGAGCAGGTATCAAATTCAGTCTAACCCCAAAGATTGTACTCTGAACCATGCCTCTGCCATACACAGCAGAAAATGGAATTAAGGCATTGAATTCAGGGTCTTCTAAGATCTCTTACAACTAATAAAGACACACCTAATAATACTATATTTTTTATTATCAAGCAATTCTGGTATCTAAGGAAAAGCTGCTTGTAAATGGTTAAAGTAGCTTCTGTTATTGTCTCAATTCTTTTTTAGGAGTTAACCATGTAGACCTACAACCTCTTTAATGCTTTTCGTAATCTTTTGTCAAAACTAAACAGATTTGTAGGAACTACTATATCTTGCGAAAGAACATTTAACTAAAGTTTAGTAATTCCTCCATTTTGCTCCAGCATCACTTTCTTCTGTTACATTTAAGTAACAGTGTATACTATATGGTAAGTATCCTATGAGCCTTTTTGTAAATTTGTCTTTATCTGTATATATGCAAAGGGAGATTTTATAGAATGATGTCAATGGTTATTTCTAGGTAATAGAATTTTTGGATTTCACTTTGTACTTTTTTGTATTGCTTGATTTTTTTTTAATAAGCACATATCACCTTTAGAGAGTCAATAAATTCTCTCAAAAAACAACAAAAAAAGAGTCATCGTGAGTCCAAACACGCCATGCAACAAGAAAGTTAGAGATTTGAAGCAAGAGTTTTTAACTAGCCATCTAAGTTTCTTCTAACTTTATTGATTCCATTTAAAATGTGTATCATGTAAGTAAAATAATGAACAAATTAGAGTATCAGAAAGAAGACATAAGAGGCCTAACAGTGAATGTTGTGTCTATAAACATTTGAGCACCTCACAAATGGAAGGTAGAGTCTAAAGTGTTGTTTTCAGAAGTTATCTCTCAGGTTGGTAGTTTATATTCTGAAATCCTGTTAGAAACACCACCAAGATCTCTCTTTTTCTATGAATCCACTGTCTTTGTTATATTAAAAAATAAAATATTTTTATTTCATATGAAACAATTTAAAGTACTGTTTAAAAATAGTTACTTTATGCAGAAAAGACTAGAAGAAAATAATGACCAAATGCTAAAAATGGATGCTTATGAGAGGTGGAATTATGAGTAGTTCTTTTTACTGTTGCATTTTCTAAGTTTTCTGCAGTGAGCATGTATTACACAGATAATCAGCTGGTTGGGTTTTTTTTAAAGAAAAAAAGCCTAAGAGGTATTTACACCTAAGTATAAGAAATAATTTAATTGAGCTAGCTCTTTTTTTTTCTTTTTTTTTTTAAGATTTTACTTGGGAATTGGGGAGGGAATGGCTTTGGGGAATCAGGGAAAGGGAACAGACAAGTTGCTGTCCTTTTGTTCTTCAGTCTAGTTGTGGAGGACATCACTTCACTGGCCCATATTGGTATTGTCATTGT